TTTATCCTTTCACCAATTAATTTGAATGAATACGATGCATATGAACCACTTTTGGTCATGAACGAATATTTAGCTATCATAGCTCAAAATGATCAAAGGCATTTCACGATCATCACAGATCCATTTACCAATCAGTCGAATAAGTGTACCTTGTCTTATGATACGATATAGCATAGACTGGTTTCTTTAACTTGTTTTATCTACAATGTGGTTATTCGAGCAAAACAATATGCAAGTCAATTTTTATTTGCTTATATCGATGAAAATTGACAAAGAGATGTTTTTTTGACGATCGTTTTCTTGAACCTACCACTACCGACTGTGTTCGAGTTGTTAGTCGAACAGTAGAGAATATGATCGATCTGAACATGCAAGAGCATGCTGGAGTGTGTGGGTGTGCATGTTAAGCACGAGTATGGAGTGTGAGTGTGAAGAGAAGCTCCACATCCACATCCATAAGCACTCCCACACACACATAGTTACACTTTTATTGAAGACTAACTTCATATTTGGAATCAATATCGAAAGCAGCATTCAATGATATTTGATGTATTCGCCTTTTTACAAAAGATTTTTTCTCTGTATATATAGAGTAAAGGTTTCTCACAGTGATTTTTCGGCAATCAGGTGGACGTCTATGAAAGTGTATGCTTCAAATATTAGAATGAATACATCTATGATTACCAATTATACTTCTATATATGATTTATCGTCAGCTATAGCACAATGTTGCATCAGTAAACATAGACTGAGTTAGGTGCCTCTCAAAAGTTTAGATTTCTACGATGAAATCATTGATTTTTCGAGCATGATGAAGCATTGCCAGAAAATCAAGATGACATTTAAAATCAACTCATCAAGTCGCATGCAAAAAAAAAATATTTTTCATGAAAACTTAATTTAAGAGTGTGATAAAGTTTTGAAGAATAACTTGTCTAATAATTTTCAAACGTTACAGAGAGTTTTAATCTGATTGAGCTCAACCATTCACTGTTTATTTTTCCACATCTAATTCATTGTCATCTAGAAAAAAAAAAGAAAGGTTTTTACTCATCTCAAATCTTTGATCTTACAAAACAGACAATATTTACATATACATCTAAGATGACATTCAAAATCAATTCGTCGAACTTTACATGGCAGTTGAACATGATAAAAAAAACTTTTTTTTTCCGATAGCTATAGTTCAAATTACGAATAAAAATATCTACTGATGTATATCGTAGACATAACTAAAATAATGTTTATTATCATGGTTACCTACTGTGCAACATTAGACGATAATATATCAGGAATATCTATTAATTTTTTATCCAGAGGGATAACTTCAAACTACAGGAGCACCGCTCCTACACATTCTATTAAACACTGATATCTATAGTATAAGATCAATTAAATTAAATTTTAACATTTGATTTGATTTGATCATCAAATTTTATCTATTTATTTGTTTTTCAACATTCATCGTCTGAAGTTCTAACAGAAATATTAAACTATACAAGATATATATACGTAAACAAGGAGACAACAAAAAACAGATAAGAATATTTATTCAAGGTCAACAGAATTTGCTTCAGTTTCATCTTCTGTATAGATATTTTCAGCCTAAATTTCAAAATAAATATATTTAAAAAAAGAAAGTTATTCTTTTTTTCTGTTACCATTTGCCAAACTTGCATAATATTATCTTCTGATACTGAACAAATAACCCATGGTTCATTTGGATTCCATGAAAAATCCGAAATCTTTGCTGTATGTCCACCATGAATGAACTTAAAAAAAAGACGAAATCAAACAAATAATTTTTCTTCTTTCGATTAATCTTTTTTTTTTCTTCTTACCAATAATTCCGGTGGACCATCTTCAGCATCATCACTAGTTTGTTCTTCACCAATTTTACTTGAAAATCAAAAACAGTAAAAAAATAAAAATAAAATCCATAAGAAAAAAAAAATTTTACCTTAAATCCCAAACATGTAAACGTCTATCAGTACCACTTGAAGCAAGAATTGTTTCATTATGATGTGACCATTGTACTTGAAATATTTCATCTTTATGAGATTCAAATGTATGTAATTTTAATTTAAGATTTCGAAGATCCCAAAGTGCAACCGTCTAAATAATTTTTTTGTATTAAACAAAACAAAAAAACAAAAAACATCAAACAAACTTTATCAGCTGAACCAGTTGCAAGAATATATTCCGAAAATGGATTAAATGATAAACAATTGACTTCGGCATTATGTGCATCAACAACATGAGATGGTTTTGTATAATTTGATGAACGAGTATCCCAACTAAATAAAATAAAATCTGTTAGCACAATCCTTGTAGGATTAAAATGTGAAACATGATATAGTTGCTAATCACAGTCAGTAGTTCGTGCATTAGAACGAGACACTATTCATATACAGTCTGTCGGGGAACTACAATGTACATTGAAACGGATATTAGGTGGAAAAACGAAAGTAAACTTTTCATCAATTCTAGAGCTAGGTCACAAGGGAACCTCTCCAGATATCAAACCGTTTTTCTATCGAGACGACGTTCGATTTGATGAATAATAGAAAAGGCTAGAATGGCTCGGTTTTTCAGGCCTTCATTCTTGAGATATCAACATTTTACTGAATTTTTCAATAAAAAGCTGTGGTCACTCTCAGATCACGTAGGCAATGAGCTTTTGAGTTTCGCAAACTTTGTCAAAATATTCGTCTATCCAAGTTCTATTAACATCATTTTCTCTTCAAGTATTTTTCGCTCAAAAAAATTCTTTTTTCCTTTAACACTCATTTTCGATCGTATTTTACGAAAACAAAAAAAAACAAGGAGATAATCAATTAATAAGTAAATGAATTACATCATTAATTTACAATCATCACCAACTGAACCAAAAAGTGTTTCATGAAATAAATGCCAAGCAACATCTTCAACAACAGCTTGATGTCCAGAAAAAATTGCTAATGGATCAACAAATTTTCCTTCTGTTGGTGTTTTATCAATATTCCATAAACATATTGTATGATCATCTGATGCTGATAAAATATGTCCACTAGTATTTGGATTCCATGATAGACCATAACCTTCTTTTGTATGTCCACGAAGACGTAATTCAGGACAAGATTCAGCACTTTGAGTCATTAATTGTTCTTTTGGTAGATTTGATAATTTTGTATAATTAAATATTAATACTTCAGATGATGGAGATTTTGTTGCAATAAGTGATGGATTTTGTGGCATATAACGAGCACGATTAACTTCACCATCATGATTTATTTTTAATTCAATTTCAATTTTAGCATTAAATAAACCAAAACCACCAAATTCTATTAAGAAAATTTTATATAATATTTTATTAAAATTAAATAAAAAGAAATCATACCTCCTCGTTCTGATTCATATTGAGTCGAATCATTTATTGTACCATCTTTTGGAATTTGTACACATGCAACTACTAAATGATTTTGTTCATCCGATGTATGTGTACCAAGAATAAGACGATGAACTGTATAATCTTTACTATCATCAGGTCTAAAATAAATTGATTTTATTATATATCGTTGACGACAAAAACATTAATTTTAGTTTATGCTTTATGTACCGGCACACGGAATTCTATACGCTTTAATGATCTCAAACATGTTCATCATTTTGCTTACAATCTATGAATATTTGTTTTCTACCATTTGTATGTTTCAATAGTGAATATTCATTTTGCATGTGTTTTGAAGTTTTTTAAAAGGCGAGTTTAAACTGCAAAAATGATGCTCGATTATAAATTAACTGTATTTTAGAGAGTTAACACTTCAACTTCATATTGTAGATGGAAGATATATGTCGGTAAATAGAAAAAGTCTTCATATATCTGGAATCAGAAGCTATTACCATTTTATGGTAAGAACTTAAGATTATAGTTAAATATTCTATAGTTGCAAGCAAATTATATTAATCAAGAGAGATGACCCAAAAAAGTGCTAGTTGTTAGCTAAACTAATAAAACAAAAAAATGAGTATTGAAAAAGTTTCTGCAGAGCGAGATCAAAAAAACTTAGTCCCACACATAAGTTCGAAATCTCTATTCATCACGATCGAGTCATGGTATTCAATGGATTAAGTATTAAAGAATCCTGATAGATTCAAATAAGTGTATTTCGATACGTCTTAGACTAACATCCATCGATAGATATAAAAGTTCTGTTTAGACGATTTAGTATCATTATTTTTTTGTTCCACAATTTGTTCAGAATCATCGATCGCGACAGGTTGTATTTCTGTGAATGAATGATTGATCTATCCTTTGATGGATTGTGTTTGTATCTGTCCTATTATCTCACATATGATTCGGAGAATTTTATCCATGTATGACAGACATTATCGTTTTCTTTTTCTTGAACTATTTTCTTATTTCTTGCATGAAGATAAGAGAAAAATCATAGACAGCAAATATTTCTTTCATTGATGAAACTGATCAAATCCAATGTTAATTCTTTGTAAATTGGTATTTATCTTACGAGAGAAGTCCTGCAATTAATAAATCGCTTTTGAATAGATCCAAATGAGGTATGCATACCTTGAAAAAAAGTTCATACTTGTAGCTTAACTATCACGGTACTTTTTAAATACTACAAACTTTTCATAGAATATTCATAGCTCATTTGAAGAACTTCCACTATTAATAATTTCGAAAGGTTAAACTTACTTTGTTACATGAGGTAACCATTGAACAGTAAGTGAAGGCCATTCAAGAGCATGTGTCATAATTAAATCATAGAGAAAAGCTGAATTTTTTTTCCATATTTTATAATCATCATTTATTTGACGTTCTTCATTTAAAACATCATCAGCTAAAATAAAATAAAAATTATTTTTATCAAACAAAAATGTTTTTTTTTAAATTTTACTTACTATCAGTCATAGTAAATATTTGACAAATTTAAAAAAAAAAAAAGAATTAATTTTATCTAAAATAAAAAAAGGAAAATTAAATATTTATGATTTTATATTCATTCTTTATGTGTTAATCTTGTTTTATATGTAATTAATGGTCTCATTTTTGCTATAACTTTTATTAGTTTTGCATCAACAAGATCATCAATTACTGCATCAATTGTTTTATATGCTTGTGGATGTTCTTCATAAAGTAATTGTTTATCATCACATACAACATGTGATTCTAAATTTTCTGTTATTTTTAATCTATCTATATTTGGATATTTTTCACTAAAATATTGTCGAGCTTTTGAACGTGACATAGCACGACCAGCACCATGTGCTAATGAATATCCAGATAATTCTTGATTTTCATCAATTGATTCAACAAGATAGGAATGTGTACCACGACTACCTGGAATAATAATACGACCTTTATCGGATGGTGCTGCACCTTTACGATGAAGATGTACTTGATATTGTTCGGATGATAATTCTTTTAAGATAACATTATTATGCCAAATATCAATAAGACATTGTGGTGAATTTGTATCACCAAGACAAGTAAGAAAACGTTGAGCTATTAAAGCTCGATTACGTTTAGCCCATGTACATGCTTCATCATGTTTACGCATATAAATTTCATAAGCCTCAGTACCTTTTTCAAGTCCCCGTGTTTCATCATTACTTTTTCCATATTCACGTAAAAATCTTTCACCTAAACTTCGACTACCAGAATGAACAAGTAAATAAAGATAGTCTGTTGATAGATCATTATATTTATTATCATAGAGTTCTTCAATACGTTGTAATTCAACAAAATGATTACCAGCACCAATTGTACCTAATTGTTCATTTTCAATATGATTATTAGTAATTTTATCAACTATTGTTGGCCATTCAAGATTTGATTGTAGAAATTCTTGAATTATTTCATTTGATAAATAATCATCTAAATCTTGTAATTGTTTTGTCCATTTAGTTAATTTTCTTTCATCATTTTCAGATATAAGACGTAATGATGTTCGAATAAAACTCATACCACAACCAATATCAGAACCAATTAATTCAGGATAAACAATAGTTGATTCAGTAGCAACAACACAACCAATAGGTGTAGATTGACCAACATGTAAATCAGGCATACCTTCATAGTTTTCAAAATTTAAAAATAGATTACTATGCTATTAAAATTAGTTGTATAGAAAATTGATCGTTCTATATAAGAAAACTAGTAATCTAGAAATCTCAATCATATTTAAAACTAAATTAATCTTTTATATTTTACTCCTTAAAACTGAAAATAAGTGTGACTGAGACTAATCACTTATTTTTGACTCCTCATCTCTTCGATTCGATAGCTTTCTCAAAAGCATCTGACTATCGGATCTTTCGTAGTGAACACATGTCAAACAAAATACAAAAACAAGACATGCATTTTGTGACTGATATATTTCATTCGTTTATAAATAAGACATTGTGACGTTACTTTATGAAAGATGTTAAAACTTTCCCGAAAATAATTCGTAATAAGCGTCCGAGCGTGCTTTATAAAAATTCATCGGTATTCCATCAATAGAATTTATAGAATCACTAACTATCTTACTACATGAACTAGTGGAATCGATTAATAACTATGTTGAAAAATCCTTTTTACTTTAACTTTTCTCTATATAAAGAAAACTTTGATATACTATCATTCTTATACCCCAAATATGTTTCACTTTTGCATATAATCGAGCCACATTTTTCAATTGATCAATAGCTGCTTGTTCAATTAATGTTCTATTTGCAATAATTTGAATAGAAACTGATGATGAATCGATTATTGAATCTGTTGTTTTTGTTGATGATGATGTATTTGCTATTGTATATGTATCACCACATGTTACAATTAATTTAGTATCATTTGAAATTCGTGATAAATCTGTTAATAATTCTTCTCCTGTTGTTGCTAAAAAAATACGACGTACTTTAACACGAAATTTTGATGAACATTGACGAAGAAGATCTTCAAATGTTTGAATAATTATTACACTTGATTTTCCTGATGGTTGAAGTGTAACTGTTACACGAAGTTTAGTATTCGATGCCATCAAAAATCTTTATCTGAAAAAAATAAAAAAACAGCTGGTAGGGAAATTCATGCAGGATTAAAATATGAAACACAAGAAATAAGAAAGTAGTTCATATATTAGAACAAGACATTATTGATATACAAATCTGTAGATCCAAATTTTTGCTTCAACACTCCTTTTAGGTCATGTTTCACAAAATAAGAAACTATAAGTTTGAAGTTATTGATCTTCAGTACTGAGTCCTTTTCTTCTCGTAGAAACTCATTACTAAACATTCTATAAGTGTTACATTTGAATTCTTCTGGCATTTTTATTTATAATCTAAAATCATATTTTAAATAATTATATACTCTTCTCTGAGTTCTAGGCTTGTTTTATGATGAAAACAAAAGAAAATAAACATATGCTTAAAACAAAAAAAAAAGAACATAGATTTAATTGTACATGTCATCTAAATGAGAACCAGGCATTGGTAAATGATCAGGATTTGGTTCTTGAAATGGACTAAATTAAATTAAAATATAGAAATAATATTAAAAGAAAAACAAAACTTACTCAACACCATATGGACCACGTTGAGGACCTGGCGGTTGAAATCGAGCCATTGGTGGTCTAAAAAACAAAAAAAAAAAACATCAATTATTCAAAATATTTAAACATTCTTACCGCATTGCTGGCTGAAACATAGATGGATCCATATTCATACCTAAAATATATTTTATTATTTTGTGAAATAATAATTAATCATAGAAACAAACCTCCACCACGTGTATTACGTCCAAATGGATCAAGATCTGAAGTACCATATCCACCAGCACCTGGACCAAAACCACCAGGAATTTGTCCCCTAGTAATTTACAAGAATATATCGATTTGATTAATTGCTTGATTATAATACTTACCAACCACCAGCATATGGATGTGGTCGTCGTCCAGCAGCTAATGGATCAATTAGAGGATCATCGGGTATTGGACGACGAACACCAGTTTGTTGTTGATTAGTTGAAGTATTTGTTCGAGTATTATTAGATGATGTATTATCATTGGTAACATTTATATCAGAACCTCCATTAGTTAATGATTCAATTTTTTCATGAAATTCTTTTTTTAAATCATTTAAATTTTTATAAGCACTAATAATCGAAAGAGAGAGATAGAAAAAAAAAAGAATGATTTTAATGTATATCATACGATTGAAATTCTTTATAATTTTCATGTACATGATCATTTACACTAAAATTTATTTCAACATGACGACCTTGTTTATTACGCTAGGTAATAAAAACGATAATTTTCATTTTTTTTTAATCTTATAATTTACTTACGAATAAATGAGCAAAGAAAACACCTTCAACATCAAATAATTTTAAATTATAACCAATATCATTTTTTGTATATTCCATTGTAATTGAATTATCAGGTCGTTGTTTCCAATCATTTGGTAATAATTCAGTTTTCTTGAAAAAAAAAACAATATAGAAAATAAATATTTCTTTTTGTTTTTTGAAGATCAAAAAAAAAAAAACCTGATTTCCATTTAATCGTTGAAAACCATGTGAAATTAAACACCAATGAGTAAAGATAATAAGTGCATCATCTTTATTTTCAATTTCTGATTGATACGTATGAAAAAGTATTTCAAGAAATGGATAAGACATTGTCTTTTCTTTTTTTTCTAGAACAAAAAAAAAACAAGAATACGTCAGTGAATATATAGACATAATTTCAGAATTAAACAAAGACATACGAAAGAATAATAATGATTTTCTATTGGACTATTATCAATTATCCAATCCATATTTGAGAAAAAGATGACGTTCGAATACAATTTTTTTCTAACAAAGAAAGTCAAAATCTATGTATGAAAAATTCTTTGAAACCTTTCCTCACGAATCGTTTAACGAGTAGAAATATGCAGGGTAAGTTTTTTCCATAACCTACGCCGTGCACTGTGGACATTAGGTAGAAAATTCCAGATGTATTTTCTGATGATTTAATCCTTTGAGGACGAAATTTTTTTTAATAGAAAAAAATCATTTTTCAACTGTTTTGTTTTATTTTATCTCAAAATAGCTACATAAAAATCCGTCTTCTTCTTTTTTCTTTCACAGGCAAATGCATTTCATTGTCAAAATTAAGGACAGTTTTTGATGATGCTAGTTTAGACTTCTTTTCAGAAGGAAGTCTTTCACGACTTATTCGTTCACTATCGAAGCAGAGAGACTTCGCCACTGAAACCATGTAGTTCAAGTATGTTAACTTGTCTTGAGCTAACTGATTATAACAAATGAATGAGTTGAAAATAGATGCATTTAGAAAATAAATAAACATTCGCAACCAGTTCCTTTTAAACTTACGATCGAGATTGTAGCACGATATTCTTTGACTGAGTTGGTCAACTCCATGTGAAAGCTGATTAAGCCAAAAAAACGTATTTGGTGTCCATCCATATGAAGACTCAGTAGCAAGAACAAGAGATATTTGAAAAGAATTTATATGAGAGAAGAAAAGAAAGAAAAAAAAAGTATGAGATGACAAATGTAGTCGTTTATGATCTTAATGACCTTACATATTTAATAGTTTAATGTGAAATAAACACTTTTTTCTTTACTGAAAAATAGGTGGTCCAAAAATGAGCCATCCGTCCTCAAAGGGTTAAATAGGACTACACATACTCTGACCTAAGAATTATTTAACCCTTTCGTTACCGTATCACATCTCGTAGATGTGATACAGAACGAAAAGAAATATTTTTCGTTCTGTCGTCCTCTTAGACGACGAATATCATATGGTATGTTTCAAGAAAAAGAAGAGGACTTAAATGATATTGGCTAGCAACACTGACACTGGATTTCGAACACAACTGATTGTGACGACAGAATGCAAGAGAGAGAGGTTCAGCTATTTTTCTTCGTGTACGTGCAGAACGCAAGAAAATGTCGGTAATGAAAGGGTTAATGATATATAAGCCTTTATTCCTCTTCTTAGCATTAGTCGAAAAACGCCGCTAGCAAGTATTAGGAACTCGTTTTACTTTGAATTAATTAAAAACATAAGGAGAAAATATCCCTTTGGGATTCGAAATAAAAAATCATTTTTCTTTAACATCGAATGCTTTTACAGAAATAGGCTTGTAGAATTTTTCGACAACTTAAAATTGAATAAAAATTTCATAGAATGCTCCTCCATTCACATAACACTCATATAACGTTAGTGCAAATCAGCTGGAGTGTTCCAGGACCTTCTCTACAAACTTCATATTTGAAATCAGCATCAAAAACTACAGTGAATGATTTTTAATATAAATAAAATTTTGTTTTTCACATTATATTGACATTCGAAAGATGATAAAGCTAATAAAATCTTTCTAATAGAAAAATACGCAATGTGTTCTGCACATCTCTACTAACTAGGGAATCTTTTCGAATGATAAAAAACTTTTGATTTCTTCACAAGCAGGAAATGTAGAGACTAGAAAAAAAATCAAAGGACATGAACGTAAATCTCGTAAGATATCAATTTTTGTTACTATAATTTGTCTGCTGTACTCCACCTTTCTGGTAAAATCGAAATTTTGAATTTTGACCTGAAACTTAATTTATATCAACATCTCAATCAAACTAGCTTACCGTATTAGGTGTCAGAATTGTTGAAGATATTATCTCAGAGATATGAACGATCCAAAATCTTCATGCATAACACAATATCCGTAAAAGATACTGAAACTTTATAAGCAAACTGATCTTATTGATACATTGACATGAATAATTTCAGATCAAAATTCGAAGCTTTTACTTTACTAAAAAAAAAGAATGAAGCGTTTCACGAAAATTCCATATCTCAATCAAATCGTAATTTGCGCCCATATTCCTCCTAGGTTTTTTTTCTGGTATATACATTCCTTAGTTGTAGACAAAATTTGAGATCAAAAACTTTTTATTACCTGAAAAGGCTCTCTCGTATGACAAATACACGAAACTTCCAAAAGAATGCCGATTTTAATTTGAGAATTATCTTCGGTGATTTTCAAAACTTCACATTCGATTTCTAGAAGAGAGAAAAATGGTCTTCGAATTTATGAAGAAAAGCAAAAATACTTGATAACTAAGTATAATAAATAATCAAAAGATATAATATTAACTTTTATTATTTGCATGAATTGATATTAAATTTGTTGTACGTTTCAATATTACTTCTTTTGCTATCATAATAGTAACAAGAAATATTTTAAATACTAAAGCAAGATAAATAAAATTATCTAATAACATTCATTTTACTTCATCGTACTAGGTTTTTCTTTAAAAAATTGATCAGTATTTAATTTGAAAAATGCTTTTCTTTTGTAAAAAAAAATACTGATATTCAAATTATTAAAAATAGTCGATAGGATATAGATTTATAATTCCTGATGCATTAACATTTTTAAAAAGACTATAATGCGAATTAAAGTTTCAAGGACCTAAGGTCAATTCACTACTTCAATCAATTATTGATAAATATAAGACAATTTTAAGATTGGATTGTGTGCCAAAAAATAAAGAAGATACAAAATATTTCTTTTTTTTTATATTATTTGATTTTAAATTCTTTTTGAAAATTTCTTTAGTACTTCAAAAATTAAAAAACATACTCATCATATCATTTTTTTTGTTTACCACATTCGATGATGTTCTTTTCTTATTGATGTGATGGAAGTAATGTATTCGAACAAATGTCAAAAATAAGAAAAAATAATATAAATTACTGAATGTGGAAATAGTGAGAGTCGTGTAAGCCGATGCATTGATGAGCGGCGGCAACTGATGTTTTCAGTAACTATTTATGACAACAACGAAGACGCAACTAGACCACTAAACCATCTGTATTGATGGGTCGATCAATTGGTTTACACCTCTAATCATAGATGAAAGCATAGTCAATAGAAAAGTGTTAACTATATCGTTTCTCATGTGTGAATTTATAAAACAAAAAAAAAATGTAATTTCGATTTCTATCCATCTCGGTGAAAAAACGTACTA